CAACTTTAGCGAGTCAACGCACAATTATTCTACTCGCTCCATGCAAAGGCAAAATCATAACGTACCTTTCAAACAAAAGTCTATTGGCCAGAGATCGTTCTCTTATTTGGCTCCTAAACTCTTTAATTATAGTCCATGTGAAATTAAATCCATTAATAAAACTCACCTATTTAAGAAATCCTTTAAAAATGTATTCTCTCGCTAGAACGTCATGTAATCACTAATTTAATAGAAAATATTTAGTGCCAGACACTTTAACATTAGTTTTAAATATTCGTTTCCAGTGTATAGCAAAAATATACCTAGTATTCATGTGTTGTATATTATGTGAAATTATCATGTAATTTATGTAATGTAACTTATTTAGTTATATGTAGTTTGTTTAGTTTATGTCGAAACAAGCAATGATTATCGACTATTTAACATTTTATTCAATTGTGGCCTTTTTTGTAACTTCCCAGACAGCACAAATCAATCCGTTGGATGTCCATCGGAAGTCCATTCATGGACATATCGGCTGTCCAAAGGACGTTCAGCATTTTACCAAAGGACGTCCAGCATTTTACCAAAGGACATCCAATGGACATCCACTGGACTATACAAATGTCCCACTCCTGGACGTCCATTTGGACTCCATGAAAGGTCCATATATGGACTCTTTTTGTATTGCTTTTGGACAATTTATGGACATCTGACGGACATCACCACCTATATTAATATGAAATAAAATAATTGCAACTATAGACTTATTTTTATTGTCATAAATAATATCAAGCATGTATTAGTTTTATACGCACTCCTTTCTGTTGACCTTCTCAGCCATTTTCTTAAGGCTATTTCGCTTACTTTTTAAGCAGCACCATTGTCACTCTCAGCAGCAGCTAAAAAAAGACATTACATTTTATACGAATATTGAGTCTTAAATCAATCGTTTAATAAACGCCTGATCAGGCAAAAGTGATAGTTAAAAATGTAAAATTTTTAGATAAAATATTATTAGCTAATATGAAAATATGCATTGACTAATGTACTTTACCCCTATACTTACATATAAACAAAAAACTGCTCATTGTTTCTTTATACCCCCTTTACATGCAGCTCACTTCCGCGGCAGTGAGCAGGGAATTGGGAAGGGAAGTGGGCAGCGCGAGTATGTAAACACGTCGCTCGCGCTGCCATTGCCCATGCCACTACCGCTGCCGTCCGCTCCCTTCAGTGGCGGTATTTCGAAAAGAAGTCAAAGGACTGGCAGCACGAGTAGGCGCAACCGTTTACATGCTGCCCACTGTCCTGTCCTGTTGCTTTACCAAGTGCACAAAGAAAAACTTATGTGTTTGTTGTTTGGTGAATTATTGGCACCAATAATATTTTAACCATTATTGAGAGGAACAAAGAACCAAGTGCTAAAGTTTTTAGAGCTATATGCAACTGAGGGATTCTGTAGATCCTTCACATAAATATCACAAAAAAAATACGTAGAAAAGGATAAGTGAAAACGTAGAAAATGCCTCGATTGATAAGGTCTGTAGCGGGTGCTGATGAGGTGTTTCAGTCTATTTGTTTTTTTTTTATTATACATTTCTTTTTAAAACAATATTATTTTGCAAATTCAAAAATTAGGGCGCTATCGCCGCGGCAATTTCAACGCCCTCTATTATTGCTAAAGAATAATGGGTAGGCGCGATAGCTGCATGTAAATAGTCACTTGCTTCACAGGCTGCCGTGGAATTATTCAGGGCAGGACAGCGGGCAGAGTAAGTAGTAGCGGCAGTGGCTGCATGTAAATTACCATTTTACTTTCATGCCATCATACCTATTATGTGAATTCTTTCGTGAGGGTATTAGAAATTATGGAAACGAACCATCTTTTTATATGTTTGTTATATCATTGTCCCTGGTTTTGGTAACTGCTGAATCTAAAATTGCAATAAAAATATGTATTTGTAAACATAAAAGAGAAATAACTTATGAAACATCTTTCAATGCATTATTTCTTAAACGTTACAAAACGATTCTATTTTATTTAATAAATGTAAAACTTACAGCTTCTTTAAAAATATTTGTATCTTCTAAATAGCCTTCTACTTCTGCTAACGTCTCATGCAGTACAAATAGAAACTTTTTTTCTGCTTTGATAGTTTTCTCACCTCTTAGTTACAATAATAATTGTGTTGACATCATCTCGAATTTGCAGCATATTAGTTAGCTTTTAGTAAAGCCATTTTCTTAAATAGGTAGGTACATCATTTGACAAAATGTTTAAAAGAAAGGGATTGTTTGAATGTAAATCGAAAACATAAAGTTTAAAACATAATTGATAGGTTTTATTAGTTTAAAACAAACGATTTCCTTTTAATTTTTAGATTTTTAAATGATTTAATTAATAATTATACTCATTTTCTTACCAGGGGGTCGATTCTCGACTTGTAGGAACCTTTTCCTATAGGAATTTGTGACACTTTCCTATATGTAGAAAAATGTCATAAATTTTCGATGTATATAAAAATGTCAAAAATTCCTATAGGAAAAAATTCCTACGAGTCGAGAATCGACCCCCTGATAAACATCCATGTACTGTTTTCTTCTTAACCTCTTTCTTCTTTTCTTCTTCGAGTCTGGCCTGAGTGGCCTTTTACTTTTCTATCTTGTCAACAAAGGCGAGTGGAGAGGAAAATTATTTGATTTATTTTAATTAAAACCTAGTAGTAAACAATTAAATTATACAAGAAGAATTATAATAATTTATTATAAGTTAGTCATTTTTATATTGTCCATCATGGACATATTTTGGACATCCATTGGACTTCTGAATGGGTATATCCATTGGATAACGGAAAACGGATGTCCAATGAATATCCATATTAAGTTCATGGACATCCAGGACATTATTTGGACAAAATATGGACGTCCAATGGACATCGTGTGCTATCTGGGTTTTACTCAATAAATGTTATTATTATTGTTATTATTACAGACACACATGCACACAGACATACAGACATACAGACATACAGACATACAGACATACAGACATACAGACATACAGACATACAGACATACAGACATACAGACATACAGACATACAGACATACAGACATACAGACATACAGACATACAGACATACAGACATACAGACATACAGACATACAGACATACAGACATACAGACATACAGACATACAGACATACAGACATACAGACATACAGACATACAGACATACATACATACAGACATACAGACATACAGACATACAGACATACAGACATACATACATACAGACATACATACATACAGACATACAGACATACAGACATACAGACATACAGACATACAGACATACAGACATACAGACATACAGACATACAGACATACAGACATACAGACATACAGACATACAGACATACAGACATACAGACATACAGACATACAGACATACAGACATACAGACATACAGACATACAGACATACAGACATACAGACATACAGACATACAGACATACAGACATACAGACATACAGACATACAGACATACAGACATACAGACATACAGACATACAGACATACAGACATACAGACATACAGACATACAGACATACAGACATACAGACATACAGACATACAGACATACAGACATACAGACATACAGACATACAGACATACAGACATACAGACATACAGACATACAGACATACAGACATACAGACATACAGACATACAGACATACAGACATACAGACATACAGACATACAGACATACAGACATACAGACATACAGACATACAGACATACAGACATACAGACATACAGACATACAGACATACAGACATACAGACATACAGACATACAGACATACAGACATACAGACATACAGACATACAGACATACAGACATACAGACATACAGACATACAGACATACAGACATACAGACATACAGACATACAGACATACAGACATACAGACATACAGACATACAGACATACAGACATACAGACATACAGACATACAGACATACAGACATACAGACATACAGACATACAGACATACAGACATACAGACATACAGACATACAGACATACAGACATACAGACATACAGACATACAGACATACAGACATACAGACATACAGACATACAGACATACAGACATACAGACATACAGACATACAGACATACAGACATACAGACACCCAGACACGCACGCACGCACGCACGCACGCACGCACGCACGCACGCACGCACGCACGCACGCACGCACGCACGCACGCACGCACGCACGCACGCACGCACGCACGCACGCACGCACGCACGCACGCACGCACGCACGCACGCACGCACGCACGCACGCACGCACGCACGCACGCACGCACGCACGCACGCACGCACGCACGCACGCACGCACGCACGCACGCACGCACGCACGCACGCACGCACGCACGCACGCACGCACGCACGCACGCACGCACGCACGCACGCACGCACGCACGCACGCACGCACGCACGCACGCACGCACGCACGCACGCACGCACGCACGCACGCACGCACGCACGCACGCACGCACGCACGCACGCACGCACGCACGCACGCACGCACGCACGCACGCACGCACGCACGCACGCACGCACGCACGCACGCACGCACGCACGCACGCACGCACGCACGCACGCACGCACGCACGCACGCACGCACGCACGCACGCACGCACGCACGCACGCACGCACGCACGCACGCACGCACGCACGCACGCACGCACGCACGCACGCACGCACGCACGCACCCACCCACCCACCCACACTCTCACACACACACACACACACACACACACACACACACACACACACACACACACACACAGAAAATAGTCAAAACGGATCCAGGGGACCCCAAAACGTAAAAATCCGTTGAAAACTGGAGGTCGAAAAAATCATGATTCTTATACTTAATAATAAAAATTAAAGGATTTGTTTAAATAGAGTAATTACTAATTTTTTGTTTTGTTATAGAATGGTCTTCTATCAGCAGCCCCTTATGCAGCATGTTTTTTCTTATCATTTGTTTTTGGTTATACCTGCGATTTTATAATAAACAATAAGTATGTATCTAGAACTGCAGCGAGGAAGATTTTCAATGGAATATGTAAGAATATTTACCTTCTAATAATTTAAATTATTGTTAAATTTCTCTATAAAGGGTATCCCATTAGTGTTATAGACATGCAAAAAAGTTTCAAATAAAAGATATATGGATTTAAAAAATATGTATTTTAAAACTATTTTTGGAAATACAGGGTGTTGCGTTTTTGCCTGACAAGTAAAATTGAATATTTTTTAAATTTCAGTTTTAGAATACTGAATCCACCCTTATTTTTTTTAAATATTGCCAAGCAAATAATTTTTTAATGAAATTTTAAAATGATGCAGACCCCAAATTAAATTATCATAATTTAAGTAGGTTTACAATGATTTAAAAATGGTTTAATATACAGACTTATTAGCGAAAAACAACTACGGGACAAATGTTTTACTTAAGAGCATCTCATGCAGATACAAGAAAGGTAGTGGATTTGCTTGTGGTTGCCGTAAAATAGGATTGAAATGTTTAATTCTTTGTTTACATTGTACTGGGATGTCATACGAAAACATTCCGGACCAGATTGCGTTAGACGACAATGCAGAAGATGCCGAAAACGTTCACGATCAGTTACAGGATGATGAGGACCAAACGTACAACGCCGAATTTGCTGTATAAACCCAAATATCGGATTAGGATTAGGCCTCTTGGGGATACTACGTTAAAAAAAAACGCGCCAATCAACTCTACCCCAAGGGTGGTGTGGAAAAAAGAATAAATTTGGCGCCTAGGTCAACAAAAATAAGGAAATATCAACCGTAGATACTGATAATTACAAAATCTTTATATTGGAGTATGTAAGGGCGCGCTTCAAAATATATCATTTATTATATACGACCAAATGTATCAAATCGGGCATCTGCAGACTCAGAAATCATTACTCTTCTAGAAAAAAAATATTACATAATTGTTTCATAGCGATCTTGGCCTTAATCCGCGCTGAAATTCTCATTTTGTTGAACATTGCAAACAACCCAGTACTTTGGCGCGTCGTAGAGCGGGAACTATTGGTCACAGACAAAAAAATATAAAGGACAAAATTGTGCAAGATTTTGTCCTGTACATATTTCATTGAAACCTTTTATCAATAGCTCTTACCACAACAACGCTATTTCTCAAAAAGCGTAGCAACGCAGAGTTTTCATCTTTCCACCCCTCGAGCGGCAACACCCCGAGGTCACAAACTTAGGTATACTATAAGGGAACCCATGTCTGCCATCTCACTAAATTTCATTTCTTTCCGACCTTTTGCGAATAGACCCCCTTATTCTTTACCCACCGCTTGGACTAGATTGGAAGTTTTGTGATTTTTGTGAATTATGCAAGTGTAGATGTGAAAAGGTAATTGTACGTTTTTTATTCCTCAACACCGAATCTCATGTTTTATTTTTTGTTATTTTTTTTTTAATGTTCTAATTACTCTGGGTGGGTTGTAGGGAGGTCTATATTTTCGAATATATAATTTTTTCAAAGTAGAATTTTGATACCTTTATTTGTCCGAAAAATTATTAAAAAATCAACTCTGTGCCTCGGAATTGATTATTGGCTTCTGAGTTGTCGTATACATAGTTTAAATTATTTGAAAAAGTGATTTGCTTAATAAGTAGGTATGCATTTTTTTTAGAAAACATGGCTAGATCAAAGGAGGAAAAAAAAAGGAAGAGAAAACTAAGCTGTAGCGCCTGCGCCGAATAAAAATAAAGAGTAACCCCGAGAAAGAGAGGTGAAAAAAAGACAACAGGGGGAAAAATATTAACTAATTATCTCGACGTGATCAAAAAGCTTAAAGAGCATTATGGACTAAAAGCACAAGACACTACAGAAATAAAAGTTAAGAGAAGCAATTTTTAAACGAATTTACTCCTACAATTTGTGAAAATCAGACAAGCACAAGCAGACATATTGCGGGTCGAAAACAAGTAAGAAGAGAAAGAGCAAGGGCTTGGATTAACGACGGCGATTTTGTTTTGGTTCGTTGTTTGGGGAAAAACCGTCAAATACTATATTAGTCTTACATTAAAAATCATTGATTCCAACACGTTAGAGTTAAATTTTTGAGAAGACCAAAAAATGTTTTTGTTTTTTCAAGCATAAACGATATAGACAAACATGATGTTGAAATGGTACTAGAGTCTCCTGAGATTGACAAAAGGGGTAAATGAGTAGTGATTTAAGCAATCTTTAATGACTAAGTATAAATATTTGTATTAAAATAAGTACTTATTTTGATTTTGAATGATTTTTTTTTTATTGTTTTTATTCTCATTAAAGAATTTTAATTAAGTTATTTTGTAATGCTTTTCTGACCTTTAATCGCTCCAGATATTAACTCTGAAGCAAAAAATCTATATATAATTTCTTTTGTATGGTATATTTAGAAATAATATTATTAAAGTATTATTTAATTTTCGTTAAAGTATTTATTTTCTATTTATCTATTTAATTATTTACGTGTTTCTTCTGAAAAAAAAAAGTTTTGTCAACTCCGTAGAACTGATGTCAACTCTGACGCAGAGATATTTTTTTTTAAAGTCAATTTTCCCGAAAATTATTGAGAAATAAATGATTTCTGCTGAAACTGAATTTGCATTCTTCAGTTACAATAATATCACCCTGAATTTTATTCGTTTTAAAATAAATGTTTTTCTAAATTGGGATTATAATGAAATTGTCCCTTATTTATGGAATGACCCATATAGGGTGTGTCAAAATACGAGGTTAAGATTTTCTTAATTTTTTAAGTGAAATACCATGTATGCTATGCCATCCCCAGCTAGCACATAACGTTGCCAAGCTTTTCGGCGATGTTGTTTTAATGGAACGTAATAACATTACCATACAACGTAACTGCAACGTTCATGAGAAGTTGTTGAGGGAAATCAAAACCTCGCGAAACATCTATTTGTTACTTACGTATTTAACCTGCCTGTTATGATAACACAACGTAATAATGTAACTTGCTAAAAAAGTATCCACGAGAATTACTATTAACATCATCTTGTTTTCGAACGTAGCCATTCATTTGTCATAACCAACGAAACATAAAACAATGTCACTTGTCACTTTTTTTTGTATGTATTTTTCATAATTTCTCAACGTTAATCGAATTTATTTAACAAGCAAAATAAATTATGAAGAAGTACTTTTAAATTTAAAATAAATATTTTCACAAGTATTGTTAACTCCGTCCGTGGACGTATAATGAATTCACATTATAACATCTATAGAAAGTTTCAGAGCAACTTTCGGGGTAAGTACCGTAAAAGTGCTAGTGTGATGTTTTCCGAACTTCACTTTTATAACTTCTGTGAGATGTGCTATAAAAGTCTTGCCGTTGCGGACATTCGGTGGTTGCAGGGATATTAGGGTTACATTAAAAGTACATCGCATGTGAGCTTAAAGAGCCTAAAATTGCAGCTTATTAACGTAGATGGGATGTTTTTGTGCTAGCTGGGTCAATTAATGAATACCGGGTGAAAATATTGAGAAAATCGTAACTTCGCGTATTAACATACCCTGTATACAACATAGCAAATAATTGAAGTCAATTAAAATTGATTCGGTTTGAAAGCAATCAAAGATGTATATCTACTTTAAAAAAGTATAGCTGTGGTCAGCATCTGTATTTAAGAATATATTTTATATTTAAAATTTCTTCGTATTTCCGCAGGTATCGATCAATTATGCACTAATGGGACACCCTGTATACATGTTATTGGCTAACATATTGGTATCGTTGGATAGGTCAATTTGAAAGGAAATGCTTAAATAATATACAGGGTGTTGCATTTGAAAAATTGAGTAAATTGAACTTACAATTTGCCATATTTAAGACATGTTGCAAAACACTCTGTATAAAATATCACCATCATTCGTTAGCTTACTAGCTCATAAGTCTGTTTTTTAAACCATTTTTAAATCATTGTAAACTTACCTAAATTATGATAATTTTATAATTTCAAAAAAAATAATTGCTTAGCAAACCTGTAATATTTTTTAAAAAAATTTAGGGTTAAATACAGAATTACTAAAGCATTCTAAAACTGAAATAAAATACAGGGTGTTCAATTTAAAAAATACACATTTTTATTTTCCAAGCAAAAACGCAACACCCTGTATATCCAAAAAAAAATTAAAATAAGTATTTTTTTAAACACATATAAGTTTGATTTGAAACTTGTTTGCGTGTCTATAAGGCAAATTAAAATATTGAAGAATGATGCACTAATGGGAGACCCTGTATATTTAGAGTGACATTTTTTGATTTCTAGTTTGAATACAACATTTTTTATTTATTTTAATTTTAATTTTTAGCAGGAATAGGTGCAGGAACATCTTTGTTTATCCTGAGTTTTCTACCAGTTGAAGCTAAAACTTTATCGGTATTGATGTTAGTAAGTGCAGTAGGAATTCAGTCTGCTGCAATTGGAGGATATCAACTAAATCACATAGATCTTTCTCCAAATTTTGCTGGATTACTGCAATCAATGTGCAACAGTGTTGGTAGCGCCTTATCTATTCTGGCTCCTGTAACAGTTCAGTTGGTAGTAAGCGATGAAGTAAGTTCTTCTATAAACTAGCTTATTTGTAACAGGCACCTAATTTTTATTACAAAAAAAACTTTAAATCTTCTATTGTATAAAACAAGAAATTATCATTTTGCAGACAAACAAATCGCAATGGCGAATTATCTTCATATTAGCAGCATTGATGTATAGTATCCCAAGTATAGTATTTGCTATTTTTGGATCTGGTATACGTCAAAAATGGGATGGATCTGATGATGAAGAAATTGTACAGCAAAAGATTTCAGAAGCTAGGGCTAAAAAGGTTTCCGTGTGGTCTATTATGTCTTTGTAAATATTTATTGGAATATATTTAATATTTTTTTTATAATTTTGAGTTTAATTTTAAAGAATGGGTTTTACTCACTGATCAGTAATATTAACATAGTGAAAATCTCCCAGACATTCCAAAAATACTGCATGAATATTTCATGCATATCAAATACATATTCCCTGGATATGCCATATCCGCCATGGCATATGATAGGAAGATTGCATGAAACATATGCTCACGATATATTTTTATCTGCCAAAATATATATATATATATATATATATATATATATATATATATATATATATATATATATGGCATATTCTCTGGATTTACTTAGGATATCCATGTATGCCTATATTCGTGGAATTTTAAATATTCATGGCATATTGTATTTTTTTTTTAATGCAGTACCACTGTTTAAAAAATAAAACCCAAACTTATACCTATAAAATAATTGTAAAAATAAAAACAAATAACAATTAAACCTTAACAGCAATCCAGTCCCTTCTGACGTCACACCGCGCGAATCTCACGACCTCCCCTTAAAGTATTTGGAACCTTGTTCGCTACATAAATTTGGCAATGTTGTCTGTCGTACGCTGAAGGATAATCATATGCGCTAGTTCAGTGATGATGTAATTATGGTTCCACTGACAATTAAAGTGACAAAAGATTTTTTGAGTGCGTTTTGTTCGTTTTGTTTACCTAAATTATATCGTTTCTTTCACTTTTATAAATATATTCCTAAAGTAAGTAGATAGCATGTATCAAATATACAATCGTTTAGTTATCAATTACATACCTTTAAACTATTTTTTATGACCTGTAAACAGTATTTTGAAATAAAATAAAAACAGTAAAAACATATATGTCAAATTTATTGATGTTTTTGTTAAAAGTTTGGTTAGAATTAAATGTCAGTGGAACCAAAATGACATCACACTGAACTAGCGCATTGGGTAGGGTCCGATTACAATTCAGGTATAATTCGTTGGCTATAGCCGGCTACTGGGGGTTAGTGACTTGTTAATATACGAATGTAGGAATACTATTTTTAAACCAAACAACTCAAACATTTTTTATTTATTGATAGTTATAGATGATATACAGGGTGTCCCGAAATTAGACGGTCATATTTTAACAGCGTGATCTACATCCTAAAATAGTAGTAAAAGTTCATATAAACATAGGTCTGAAAACTTTTCTTTTCCGAGATACAGGGTGTTAAAGGTGAAGTCCTGAATACCACACTTTTGTAAATATTTTCTAAACGTTTAAAGATATTTAGGTAAAATTTGTTACAAATACTTACCTTTTTACGCTTCAGTTATTGGACTAAACCCCAGTTATTGATCATCTTCTTAGGGGAGCTTAGGGTAAAATTGCCGTGTGTGTCTGTGTGTCTATATCCACCATAACTCATGAACCGATACACAGAAAAACACTAAATTTTAAACTTGTTTTATTTCGGCCTGACGTGAAATGATTAGATTTTGGACAAAGTCGGAACATCTGGGGGGTACTTTATGGGAGGCCGTTTTTATATTTTATTGAATATATCTGTTATTTATGTTTGGAGAAGAAAATTATTCAAATAAAAGTTACTTCTAATATTATTATCTATAATTTTTGCTTTATGTCAAAATTTCCTAAAATGGTCCGTATTCAAGAAATTTGACAAAATGTGCAAAATTCTAAACTAAAAGTTGTTTGCGATATCGATCTCTATAATTTTTGTTTATACATGATTTTTCTAAAATGGACCGTAATGGAAAAATTGTAGGAAAATTGCTAAATTTAAATTTTTCAGTATTTTCGTTTTCAATGAATAACTATAGAACAATGTTTCGAGGTAGATCGGTGTATGTGGAAAATGTATATATTTAGTTTAACCTCTAAACATTTATAGAGGTACTGCAATAAGTTGTACAAAATAACCAGAAAAAGCCTATAAGAACTAGATAGGAAAGTCATGTGTTGGACACATCAGATTTTTTGACTATAAAATTTGGAAAACCAATATTTTCTGTATAATAAAGCTACATTTGTTATTCGAAAGTGTAAACAATAATTAGTAGGTCTATAGAATTAGAAATTTTATTTTTTTTTAACTTTGAAAAACCGGTAACTAAAGAAATTTTAGAAAATATTGCATCTGGACTTCACTTGTAACACCCTGTATCTCGAAAACGAAACGTTTTCGGACCATGTTTATACAAACTTTACTCATATTTTTAACCAACTTCATAAAAGGTGAAGGGAGGTTCTCAATTCGTCGCAATATTTTTTTTAATTTTTTTTATGTATGTTCAGCGATAATTCTTTAACACGGTGTCCGATTTCAATGATTCTTTTTTTGTTAGAAAGGGGGTACTTCGGGGGTGGTTCCATATAAATTTGGTCAAAATCTAATAATTGGGCCCATGAGAAAATCCTCAAACTCTTCATTTTTTATGTATGTTTAGCGATAATGCTTTACCATCTTGTCCGATTTATATGATTCTTTTTTTGGTAGTAAGGGGGTATCTCAGGGATGATCCTATATAAATTTGGTTAAGATGTGGAGACGGCATCTGCATGTTTTTTAATTTTTAATTTCTAATACTTGTAGGATGTAGATTACGCTGTTAAAATATGACCGTCTAATTTCGGGACACCCTGTATATTAGAAATTCGAAATAATAGTTGTGACGTAGCGGTATTTTTCTAATTGTAATCGGACCCTAGGTATATGGATACGGAAAGTGATGAATTGGAGATAGGTAAATTGTATTTATTGTATTAAAGGAACAACAAATATAATTACAATTAAATAAGTATATTAATATAACAATTTTTTAAAGTCTGTATTAAAAAAAATTTTTTTCACATAGATTATTAAATTAAAAAAATAACTATTAAAACACGAAATGTTAATTTTTTCTCTTTTACAACACAAAATATACAATACTGTTGAATCAAAATTTTCTCTTGGCAGCAGGTGGTTTTTGTGACGCGATAATTATGATGCTTTGCATCTCATGAATTGAAGCTAATTCTCTTTTAATCTTAAGGTGATCATACCCCTTATAATTTTCGGACAAGAATATCTCAAAATATTTAAATTTTGGCAAAATAAATTAGGCAATAATATCTATAATATGCATATATTTTAATGTTTTAATTCCTTCCAGTTTCCCAAAAAAACTAAAAGGGCTTTAATATTGAAATATCATAATTAAAATAAATGCAATTCCTCGACAGCACTATTCTTAATATAATCCCCAAATTTAAGCTCCTAATGTCTTGTTAATGATTTCTTCAAATTCGCCAAAATTAGTGGCTAAAACGCTTCGTTAAGTGCTATCTTCTGGTGTAAACTGGTGTAAATTATTGCAAGAAACGAATAATGACAGAGTGTACGATACGATAGTTACAAGCGCGTTACACTGTTTACCACTCAATTTATTAAAAAAAATAATAAATTAGGGTGTTAATTTTTTTTCTCTGAAGCTATTGGTTTTGGGAAAAAAATTCAAGAATAAAAAAAAATTAAATAAAACAAGGATTTCATAAAAGTTCATCTCGAAAAAAAGTTTTGATATGAAATAAAGTAAGTGTTGCTAATTTCACCCCCCTATAATGTAACAGAAATATTGAAAAAATACCCGTGGTTAGTCCTTTGTGATTACAGAATTTCAAGTTTCTAGCTTTACTGAAATTTTAGAAAAAAAATAAAAACTCAATTTTAGTCACCACCTTTTAAGGGTGATATCTCGAAAACGGGTGGGCTGAGGAAATTTTGTTATAGGAAAGACCCATCTTAATTTCATACGAGCAATCAGTTCCTGAATTTTGTCGCATGTATTTAGAAACACCCTGTATATTACACATTTTTTTAAGCGTGCAAAATTCTTAACAATCTCTTTTCCCTAATTGGCACATGTCGTATTTCTCTAGGATTTACAAACTCTGGCAGCAAACAAATAAAATAGAAATTTGTCAGCTGTGTATTTTTGCCTTTCAGAATTTTTAATTTCATAAATTAACTAATAACTAAATTAAACAAAAGCCTAACAACGCCTCAACAACAAACTAAGACGATCACAATAATTTCGCACCTCTTCAAAAACAACTACCTATTGTTCGACACAGGAATTAACAAATTTAACTAAACAGCAGCTACCCTTTAAACCACGGGCTTCATAGACTAGCAGCGTTGCCATATTTACTGGTATCATTGTTTTAATAGAATTAGTATCGGAATGAAAACTATGTTAATTTTCGGTCCTGTTCAAAATTGGTAATCTTTTTGAAAAAAAGTTATTTAGAAAATAGTTAAGATATTTGTTATAGAATGACGGTAAAGAGCCAAAAAATTAAATTTGTTAAAAAGTTGAAATTTTTGTTGTTTTTATTTACAAATATAAGTTTTTCGCGGTTTAGCGAAATTCTTGGTTCATTTTTACAACGATTGGCCTGAACCATTTTTTTTAACTGCCTCAAATGTAAAATTGATTTTTGGCGGAGGAGCTCCCGTCATGTTTGCTCTTAAACTTGTCAGTACTCTACCTTTTCATCAACGAGCCAAATAACTTTTTTATTAAATACTCATAATTGAATTGGTTTTAGATAGTTTTATTAAAATTCAAATTTATTTGTTAAATGTAGCTTGTGAAATGCTATTATTTATCTATTCTTCACAATAATCACTTATTTTTAATTATATTTAATCTCAATAACTACAAAAAATATGCTAACAACTAGTTTGATAGAATTTTCACTTATTTAAAATTATAAAAAATAATAGAAGCCCGGTCATCAAACAGTGTCGGATTGGGACCTCCAGGGCCTACCGGTTCATATCAATTTTTTTTTCATGGTCCGATTTTTTGAAGGGCAAGAAATGGTCCTTTTTGCACACTGATGCTTTTTCCGAGGTTGCCACGCATTACGATGTTTCTTCGATTTGATTGATTTGATTCTTTGTTCCTCTCAATGGCCCCTAAACGAGGGCCAGTTATCCAAACCGGCGGCCCAGTTCGACACTGTCATCAAATATGAACTGTGATAGG